ACTACTATAATCAACATTATCATCATCATCATCACTATCAAAATCATCATCATCGTCGTCAAAAACAACAAAATTATCATCATTATCATGATCACCACCTTCAAATTGTATTTGGACACAACCTCTGTTTCGACAACTTGCCGAGAGGATCAGCTCGTTTTAGGGGTGAAAATTAAATAGAAAATGATTGCAAACGTTTTTGAGAGGAGGTCACATGATAGGAAGAGGAAAACACATTTAAAAACAAAAATAAAGTCAACACAATGTTCTGAAAATTGATGGAGAAATGGTGAAAGATCAAAAGAAGAACACTGCAGAGACGATTGTTCATCTTCAGCTCACCCACACACGACACACTCAACAAATAGTTAGTTATATACGCCGCCGCCGTCATCATCATCATAATCATCATCATCGTCATTATCTGGCTGTCTCTTCTTCATCATCATCTCGCAATTTTTTTTGTCATCATCCTAATAATTGTTATCACATCATCATCATCACCATCAAAACCCCAGACAGGAAATAATGTCCCCAGAACAAATATTGCTTGGGACGATTCTCAGTTTCTTCATAATAACCGCCATCCTAGGAAACATTTTGGTAATCATCGCCATCATGACCGACAGAAATCTCCGAAAATCCGGGAATTTTTTTCTCGTGAGTTTGGCCCTGGCCGACACATTCGTCGCCTGCTTCGTCATGACGTTCGCCATGTTTAACGACGTTTCGGGACGGTGGCAATTCGGTCCCGAGTTCTGCAAGTTGTGGATGTCAGCCGATGTCATGTGCTCCACCGCATCCATCTTGAATCTGTTCGCCATCAGTTTGGATAGGTACTTGCACATCAGAAGCCCGCTGCATTACGACAGTTGGGTCGACCACCATAGGTCGTTCGTTCGTTCGTTCGTTTGATGGCTTGTTTTTTTGTTTGTTTGCTTGTTTGTTTGTAAGTGTATGTACGTTTCTCTCTCTCTCTCTCTCCTTTCTCTTTCTCTCTTTCTCTCATTCCTCGTTTTCTCATTACGATTGTGTGCATGTTCAGCAAAGAGAATGACGATGTTCATTGCGACTGATAACAACAATAACAATAATAATAATCAAAGTAATAATGTTTACACGAAATAACAATAATAATAACAACAATAACAATAAAAAATGATATGCATTACATTAACAACATCAGGGTGTTGATGGTGGTGGCGGCAATTTGGTTAATGTCAGCGCTCATCTCCTTCCTACCAATCCAACTTGACTGGCACACGTTAAAAACACCAAAAACAACAACATCAACATCATATTACATCAACAATTATTACAACAGCAACAACAACAGCGTCAACATCAACAGCAACAACAACAATAACCATGGCTACATCAACAGCTACAATGTTAGTTATTTTCATTTAGATAATAAGAACATCAACGCCGATGACATCAACAACGTCATAATTGACTACAACAACATCTACAGCAACAACAACAACTTCATCTCAACCACTGCAGAAGCGAACTTTAACAATATGAATAGCAAAATTGGCGACAGTTACGAGAATAATTATAACAGCAATAACAACAACAACAATAATAAGAACAACAATATTAATCCTAACGATAATAATTATAATTATGACAACAATTATGACCATAATTACATCTATAATTATGACGATTGGTTTGAGGGTGGAATTGAAATTAAATCTGAAAAAGAAAAACATGGGAATTTGACATTTCCACGCGAAGAAACAGACAACAACAACAACAACAACATCAACAACGACAACAACAACAACAACAACATCATCATCAACAACAACATCAACGGCGACAACAACAACAACAACATCAACAACATCAACAACAACAACAACATCATCATTAGCCCGTCGTATACATTTTTAACTGAATCAAAGGGGCTAAAAACAGCCGCGACAAACGCGGCGACAAAAAGTTCCTTGTTTACGCAACCAAAAACCCCAAATAATTACGTATCGTCGTCGTCGCCAGTTTTATTGCCGCCATTATCATCGTCATCGTCATCATCGTCTATATCGTCTCTATCATCATCATCATCGTCATCATCATCATCATCATCATCAAAAAACTCAAAAACGACATATTTTGTTAACATCTACAACAAAAACATCAACCTCGACTACAACAACATTAACAACTACAATGCTTACATGACAAACAACGACAACTATCTTAACAACAACACCACCGCCAACAACACCAACAACAACATCTCTGATCTCACTAACATCTGCCAGCTGGAGCTGAACCCCACCTACGCAGTCTTCTCCTCGGCAATCAGCTTCTTCATCCCGTGCATCGCCATGACGCTCATCTACTTCCGGCTCCATCAATACGCCAGACGACACGTGATCAAAATAAAAATGTCCAACAAGTCGTCATCATCATCAGCCCCCCTGACGACAACAGCGACAGCAGTAGCGAACAACAACCACACACTAACCACACTAACCACAGCGACGACAACAAGCAGCCAGTACAAAACGTCAGACCACAAAGCCGCAGTGACACTCGGCATTATAATGGGGGTGTTTCTGATATGTTGGGCCCCTTTCTTTACAGTCAACGTCGTCGGGGCGTTTTGTCGGTGCGTACCGAATCTCACATTCGGTATTTTCACCTGGCTCGGTTACGTTAATAGTACCATGAATCCGGTTATATACGGTATTTTTAACCGACAATTTAGAGATGCGTTTCAGAGAGTTATAGCAATCGGTTTGAGGCGAGTGTTCGGTATTACGTATCGGTATTCGGAGTATTCGATACCGATGCACGTGGTTGTTAATAATTATAATAATAATAGTAATAATAACTTCACCAATAATAATAATAATAATAATAATTTAGTTAGGATTAACAGTCGATGCCAGAGCAGTTACAATATTGAACAGAATAATAGCAACAACAACAATAATAGTAACAACAGTAATAACAATAATAGTAACATTAACAACAACAATAATAACAACAACGGCGATAAGGATAAAACAAATAATATTACTAACACCGACAACCACACTGAGACAAATTTAAGGTACCTCAGCGATACAAAGACCAACTGCAAACATAGCGAAATTAACGTGAAAAATAACAATAAAAAAAACAACAACAATAACAACAACAATAACAACGACGACAACAACAACAATAACAACAATAGCAACAACAACGACAACGACAGACTGACCATAGAAGCCAACCCCACAAGGGACCATTCAACTCCGGCTAGGAAGTTTGTCCCCAGGTCGCCGAGAATTAGGTGAAATATTTTTTGGGGCAGAAGTATTTTTGATCGTGAATTACTTTTGACGGGAATGCAATTTTGGCGGGAATGCATTTTGGCGGAAAAATCGAATTTGACTTGAATAAACTTGAAACCGTTGTTACTAACCTATTTATTAATCACGTATATATTACTTAGCTATAATATGTATGTGTGTTAATAAACAAATAAACAATGATGAAGAGAATAAAAATTGAATGAATAAATGAACGAACGAATGAATGAACGTTAGAATGAAAATAAGAAAAAACGAACGAACGAACGAATGATGAATGAATGGATGAATGAATCGGCCTAAGATTTTAACGAACATTTCAAAGAGTGTCATTTAACACATATACAAATGTCAATCAATATTTTTTTAATAAAAAATCGGCTTTTTCTCTCTCTCTCTCTCTCTCTCTTTCTTTCTTTTTCTTTATCTCTCTCTTTTTTTTCTCTTCCTCTCTCTTTCTCTCTCTCTCTCTTTCTCTCTTTCACTCTCTCTCAAACACAATTCCATTATCGTTTAAATATTTTTAATTGAACTTTTTTTTATCAAAAAGTTTGTCAACATCATGCCGTGTCATGTTGTCAATTTTCAATAAAAATGAAAATAATTATATTAATAAAAAATTATAGCTATAATAATAATAATAATAATAATAAATTATATTATAATTAACTATAAAAATATAATAATAATAACTCTTATTATTTTTACGAGACGCCATTCAATCCATCACCAGTTAGGGGTCGATTGAGACACGCCATTTCAGAGGAATCGAAATATTAATTAATCAATCAATCAATATCATTAATATTATGGATAGATAGATATCTATATTATTACTATTATTATTATTATTGTTATTGTTATTATTATTATTATTATTATTATTATTATTATTATTATTATTATTATTATTATTGTTGTTGTTGTTATTAGTAGTAGTACCAGAAGTAGTAATAGCAGTAGTAGTAGTAGTAGTAGTAGTAGTAGTAGTAGTAGTAGTAGTAGTAGTAACAGCAGTAATAGTAGTAGTAACAGTAACAGTAGTAGTAGCAGCAGCGGTATTGTCGCCATCACCATGACCACCCGAGCCAAAGTGGTCCTTGGAAATAATCGTATTTAATTGCGTACATAAATATTATTATCACCAAAGCGTTTATACGTATCAAGTATATATGTATGTATGTATCAAATCAAATCGAATATTGTATTTATATAACGCCAATTATAATTGCTTCTCATCAGCGCACTCCTCGTATGAAGCATGTTGTTCAAATGTATGTATGTATGTATGTATGTGTGTATGTGTGTATGTGTGTATGTATGTATGTATGTATGTATGTATGTATGTATGTATGTATGTATGTATGTATGTATGTATGTATGTATGTATGTATGTATGTATGTATGTATGTATGTATGTATGTATGTATGTATGTATGTATGTATGTATGTATGTATGTATGTATGTATGTATGTATCAAATCAAATCACTTTTATTCAATCAAACAAAACAAAAGCATGAATGATTCGGAGACCAAAAAAAGAAAATTAATTCTTGTGGGCTCGGCCACCGTGCAGCTCAAAATTGCTTCTCAATGATAAAATAAAATTGTCAATAGGAGAAAATGTATCAATGTTAATGAAATATGTACACACTTATATACATATATATACATATACATTATTATCCTTGAAAAACAGAACTTTTCGTAATTAAAAAATTTTTCAGTTTATTTTTAAAAAGATGCAAAGTGTTACAATCTTTAATTTCTTGTGGAATCGTCTCCCATATTCCTGGGCCGGTATGTTTCAAACTCATGCAGAGTACTTTAATTCTGGCTGGTGGAGCATAGAAAAGTGGCGTGTGGCGTGTGGTTCTTGCTTGAATGGAAGTTCCAAAAGTGAAAAAGTTTCTAAAAAATGCCGGCAATTGCTGACGTAGAAATCTAAAAATGAATG